AGCGGCTGCTGGTGTGGTCAGTGACAAGTTCTTTCAGAGCTGTTCTCTCATGAGCAGCCCTCAATAGAGCTCTCTCAGCCCCACCCACCTCACAGGGTGTCTGTTTTGGGGAGGGGAAGGGAAAGGTGTTTGTAAGCTGCTCTGAGACACCTTTGGGTAGTGAAGGGCAGGGTATAAATCCAATCTCTTCTTCATTTCCTGGAGACAATGACAACTTTGGTGAGTTGGTTCTATGGTATACCAGAGTCTAGGAGAAACTGACGTCCACTCTGAGACTCCTTTGGGTAGTGAAGGGGAGGGTATGAATCCAATCTCCTCCTCCTCCTCCTCCTCCTCCTGTTCTTCTTCTTCTTCTTCAGTTTGGTGTAGTGCTTAAGTGCGTGGACTCTAATCTGGGAGAACCGGGTTTGATTCCCCACTCCTCCACTTGCACCTGGCTGGATGACCTTGGGCAAGCCGTAGTTCTGATCAGGGCTTTTTTTGTAGAAAAAGCACTGCAGGAACTCATTAGCATAACAGGTCACACCCAACAGCAGGAACTCATTAGCATAATAGGCCACACCCCTGACAGAGCAGCTCATTAGCATATTAGGCCACACCCCACATTACCAGAAGTGTGGCCATCCAGCCACACTCACCTTTTGCTTCTTATTCTGTTTACCTTGTTTGTTGTCAAAACCCAGGGCTTTTTTTTTGGTAGCAGGAACCCTTTGCATGTTAGGCCACACACCCCTAATGTAGCCAGTCCTAATGGGTTTCTGCTGTTGGGTGTGGCCTATTATGCTAATCAGTTCCTGCTGGGCATGGCCAACTTGGGAGCCAGCCGGAGCTCCATTCCTGTACATTCCTGCCCAAAAATAGCCCTGGTTCTGATAAGAGCTGTTCTTGAAAAAGAGCTGTTTCTGTCAAGAGCTCTCTCAGCCCCACCTACCTCATTGGCAATGTTCCCTCTAAGCTATGGAATCTTGTGAGCAAAAATTCTACTTTGTGAGCTACTGGTATTAAAGTTGTGAGTGAGCGATTTGGCTAGTGCATAAATTAGTTTGCTCTGGAGCCCTCCTTCCTGAGCTAAGACAAAAATGTGTGAGCCGGAGGCTAAAGAACTGTGAGGTAGCTCACACCGATTTGGCTTAGAGGGAACACTGCTCACTGGGTGTCTGTTGTGGGGAGGGGGAGGGAAAGGAGTTTGTGAGCCGCTCTGAGACACCTTTGGGTAGTGAAGGGTGGGGTATAAATCCAATCTCTTCCTCCTCCTCCTCTTCCTCCTCCTCTTTCTTCTTCCTCCTCCTCGTCTTCTTCCTCCTCCTCTTCTTCTTCCTCCTCCTCTTTTTCTTCTTTCTCTTCCTCCTCCTTTTCTTCTTCTTCTGATTGGGACCTTTGTGGCATAGAGGAAGGAGGCCCTCCAACCTTCTCCCCGTGCTTTCTTCCCTCCCTGCCAAAGACGGCAATGAAGCATATCTGCCAACATGCTTCTCCTTATGACATGCTGGGTGTAAAAAATGGTGTGGGGGGAGGTCGGAGATCCTCCTCTGAAAAAATTCAAATGCTACCGTCCATTAATTTCAAACTCCAGTTGCTGTCCCTGCAGTCTGGTCTTAGCTGGATGGATGACTTTTGGTTGTTGAGGCCCGGTGAAGTAGACGAGCAGTTTAAAGGTGCATGGTGCACTACATCTAGGTTTGAGGCTTACCCTGCATGGCTAATAGTCTCTAGATGTTTAGGCTGGTAAAGTGGTTCTCAATTCTTCTCTTTCAAAGAACTGGTGATGAGACGCCTCCTGAAGAAGATACCCCTGGACTCAAATGACCTAAATTACTGCTGCCGGATGGCAAACATTCCATTCTTGGGCAAGGCACTTGAGTGAGTGGTGGACATGTCAGCTTCAGGCCATCTTGGGAATGAGATTATTCTCTGAATCAGTTTTATTCCAGATTCAAACATGGGTTCAGGCTGGAAATAGACTTGGTTCCCAGCGTCTGAATTATCTAGAGTATCCAAATTACACACATATGAGCAACTATGGCTGTGGTTACACACACTAAACAATCCACTTTCAGTACACTTTCCGACTGGATTTTACTGTGTGAACTGGCAAAATCCAGTTGGAAAGTGCACTGAAAGAGGATTGAAAGGGGATTATTTAGTGTGTGTGTGACCAAAGCCAATCTTAGATATTTAGAAGAAGAGAAGAAGAAGAGGTTGGGTTTATACCCACCCCCCGTTCACTACCCGAAGGAGTCTCAGAGCGATTTACAATCCCCTTTCCCTTCCCCATGACAGACACCCTGTGAGGTAGGTGAGGCTGAGAGAGCTCTTTCGAGAATTGCTCGTGAGAGCTCTAAAAGAACTTGTGACTGACCCAAGGTCTCACCAGCAGCTGCATGTGGAGGAGTGGGAAATCAAAACCGGTTCTCCCAGATTAGAATCTGTGCTCCTCACCACTACACCAAACTGGCTGTAGAGAATAGGTGCAACAGCACATATTCTCAAGCAGTTCTCAAAGTGAACACACATACATATAGCATAATTTATATTTTCTTCATTTAATTTAACAAAAAGCAGCATTCCCTGCTATGTGTCCTCTTAGATGTCAGCCATTTAAAACAATACACACTAAGGCCCCGTTCACATGGGAGGATTTGCCCCGCAAGAGGGACGGATTGGGGGCTCATCAAGCGGGCGCGATCACACCGCAACATCTGGGAAGCGGCGTGCACCCGTCCCTTATCCGTCCCTTCTGCCTACAAAAGTGCATCAAAAAGGTAGTAGTAAATGGAGCACCACCTTCCAGATGATGCACAGCAATGGAAGGCGTCTGGTCGGGGAAGTGCTGGTAGCCCATCGCAGCCAGCGCCATTCCCCGTCCCACGCACATGCACAACCACGCTGCTGCCGGTTTGCTGCACAACAGTGTGATCAGCTGCCGGAGCAGGGAGCATGGAGCCACGGGGGCACATCGGATTGCGCTCCCGCGGTTCTTTTTGCTCCGGCTCTAATTTGCCTTCCTTCGGCAGCGGATCATCCCGCTCATGTGACCGGGACCTGAATCTGTCAGTACTTGGAGTCTTTTCAAAACTACAATGAGGGGGATTCAAATGCAGTGCCTTCTACAGTTTGTGCTTTGCAGAAATGAAGTCTGTTTAACTGGAGGCGGTCTGCACAAGTTCTTACTCACCTGTCTGGCGGCTTGGTGGGCTTCAGTGTGACACTGCTGAGAGGTTGTCCTTGGGGCAGCCCATGTGAGAGGGGCTGGGTTTTACCCAAGGCGTTGGTGAGAACACTGAAACGGGGAGCAAAGCAGTGCCCAGTCATTCCCCACACTGCGACAGATGTACAAAGGAAATACTACTTGACACAGAGAGTGATTCAAATGTGGAATTCATCACCAGAGGATGTCACGATGGCCACAAGAATACACAGCTTTTCTGGTGGACCTCCTGATGGCCCCTGGTATTTCTGGCCACTGTGTGACACAGAGTGTTGGACTGGATGGGCCATTGGCCTGATCCAACATTGGTGTCTCATATTCTTATGTTCTTAGCTTTACAAGGGGATTAGACAGATTCACAGAGGAGAAGTCTATAAATGGCTACAAGCCATGGTGACTGAGGGGAACTTCCACATTCAGAGGCACTGAGCCTCTGAATCCCAGAGCCAGGAGACGAGATCAGGGGAGGGCCTCGGCCTCGTTGCCTTCTTGTTGGCCCTCCAGAGGAACCTGTTGGCCACTGTGTGAGACAGGAGGCTGGACTAGATGGACCCTCACTAGTCTGATCCAGCAGGGCTGTTCTTACGTTCTTCTCAGGGGAAGGCCTCGGCCTCTATACCCTGTTTGTTTGGCCCTCTGGGGCAACTGGTTGCCACTGTGGGAGACAGGATGCTGGACTAGATGGACCACTAGATGGACCAGCGCGGCTCTTCTTAGTTCTTGTGTTCTCGTGTGCTTTCTCCACTGTGCCCCCCATGTTGGGTTTATGGTCTGCCCAAGACTGTCAAGAAGTCTCACACTTGGCTGGCTTTTGTCCTTCCGATGTTGACTGCACCACCAAACAGCATCGTTTCCTCCCCTCTGCCCCGGGGTTGAGTTTCGTCTTTTGATCTAGTACAATAATGATTTCAAGTGCAAATTTAGGGCCAGCATTGCCTCACCCGGGGAAGGAGAAATGGGGAAGAAAAAACCAAACAAACCAGAATTGGATGCCACCTGCATTTTGGTGACACTCAACACCATGTTTCCTGATGGCTTCACCCAGAGGGTTTATATGAAGAGCATGGGTGACCAGAACCATATGAACAGGTTAAACATAACAATCCAGCACCATGTTTTAGAATTCCACCCCCTCAAAAGAGCAAAGGCTGCTTGAGAGACTGAGAAGAATGAGAAGATGTGATCTGTTCTTTTCTTCATAATATAGAATTGCCAGGGCTCTTTTTGTAGAAAACGTCCAGCAGGAACTCATTAGCATAACAGGCCACACCCAGCAGCAGAAACTCATTAGCATATTAGGCCACACCCCGACACCACGGCTCATTAGCACATTAGGCCGCACCCCCATGTTACCAGAAGTGTGCTCGTCCAGCCACACCCACCTTTTGCTCGTTATTCTGTTTACCTTGTTTGTTGTCAAAACCCAGGACCTTTTTTTGTTACAGGAACTCCTTTGCATGTTAGGCCACGCACCCCTAATGTGGCCAATCCTAATGAGTTTCTGCTGTTGGGTGTGGCCTGTTATGCTAATGAGTTTCTGCTGGGTGTGGCCAACTTGGGAGCCAGCCTGAACTCCGTCCCTGTGCGTTCCTGCCCAAAAATAGCCCTGGAATTGTCCAACATGGTCCCCAAATCCAGTATGGAGTTAGAATGGAATGGGTCTAAATAATCCCCCCCCCCTTTGTTCTGGAAATCTGCTGTTTTCTTGGTATACTAAGTCTGCACTGTTTTCCCCCTCCCCTTTTCACCTATTCAATAATATTAATCCGCCTTACTCATTATCTTGTTATAGGTCCACTTCCTGCTCCACAAGATGCCCTGTGGGTGCCCCACAGTCCACAGTGTTCCAGTCTGTGGTCGCCCAGTTGAAGTAATGAGTCCATGTGGCTCACCCTGTGGCCCCGTCAGAACACCAGCGACTGCCTGTGGCGTACTTCCTGGAGCGAATGTTTCATGTGTTGGTCAGCTGCCGCCATCAGAAGTAGTGATAGTACAGCCTCCCATTTCTACAGTTGTCCCAGGACGAGCTCTTGGCGGACCCTGCGGCCGTGTCCATATGGGAGGGCGCACTTCTTGTCGCCATCCTGCAGGCGTTTGCTGTATCCCTGTCTCTAGATGCAGATCGTGTATGTGAAAGGAAAGTTCATGTGAACGTGAACCACCACTGGCAATTGATTTATTTGATATGGGTACACAGCTGATCGTCTCATTGGCCTGAGAGTTTGTAAAGTCCCGGCAACTCCAATCGGAAACAAAAATAACAGGATTTCTGGATGCTTGTCTTTTTCTTAAGTATATATATATATTAAAAAAAAACAAGAACTCACAGAGACAAAAAACAACAACCACCCAGTCATTAATGCATGAAACGACAGTCTAATTGAAATAAAGGACTGTAACAATCACATGTCAATGAGCATGAACATTCTAAGCCATTATGAAGATTCCACAAGAAATTACAAGTATATTTAACACAATATGAACTACAGACTCTACAGAGTATGAAGCTGACAAGGGCAATGTAGCCGAATAGGATGCTATCTGATGATCATGAGTTTTAAAGGAGAGGATAAATAAGCCAACTCCATCTATTATTCTCTTCTCTAAATCTTAAGAAGGCACACTGAAGGCATCTGAAATGTCACTGCAGTTGTCCACCTCTTCACTCAACGGCAATGCGGCCAATGATAGGAGCCCTTTCAGAACAAAATCTTTGTCAAGAAGCATATTCTCCCCAAGACAGTAAAATTCAAAAGTGCAACGACCATAACAGGCATAGAGACAGAGCCCAATGCTTTGAAGAAGTCTGAATCACATTGAAACACAATGTAAACCGCTTGATGCTCTAGAGCAGTGGCATGTCTGATGCCATCATTGTGAACATAAGAACATAAGGGAAGCCAGTGTTGAAGCAGGCCAATGACCCATCCGGTCCAACACTCTGTGTCACACAGTGCCCCAAAATACCAGGTGCCATCAGGAGGTCCAGCAGTGGGGCCAGGGACACTAGGAGCCCTCCCACTGTTGCCCCCCCCAAGCACCAAGAAGACAGAGCATCCCTTGCCCCAGCCTGAGAGTTTCTATCTATTTATTGTGCCTTCTTCAGGTTCATTTACATGTGATTGTTATGATCCTTTATTTCAATTTGACTGTGGTTTCATGCATTAACAACTGGTATTTATTTATTTTTTTGTCTCTGGGGAGTTCTTGTTTTTCGCCTTTCTTTTTCCTTAAAGCCAAGGATACCACCGGCTAGTTCCGTTAACGGCAAACTCTTGCTTCACTTACTCCGAGATCAGATTAGAGAGACTCTAAGGCCGAGTTCAGACTGGCAGTTTGGCCCATCAGCCAAACGTTTCAGGAGCATTTTGGGAGCGGATTAAAGGGGCGGGTTCACACAGGCACATCTGTCAGGCGTCCGCCAGCCGTACTCAAGCCGTCTTGTGCCGCTTCCCTCCTGAGTTTAAAAAGTACCAGGTGAAAGTGGTAGCAAACCGTGTGTAGAGCGGGTTGATTCCGGTTCCCTGATGTGTGAACGCAAGCGCTGCTAAGGCGGGAACAACCCGCAGTCGATAATAGGCGCTGGCTGTTTCCACGACAGGCACCCATGCACCTATGTGCATAGGCGCATGCAGCGAAGCACAGAAACAGACGCTAACAGCCCACCAGGGGCGGGCCGACAGTGCGGACGCTCCCTTGCGCTTCCTCCACGGTATTCTCCCGCTTCATTCGCTGCAGTGTGAACGGGAATACCGCGAACAAGCCATTCCCGGTCTATTCCGAGTCTTCTTTGCCACGACTCCCTAGCGCTTCAAATTGCCAGTCTGAACTCGGCCTAAGTTTCCAAGGAAGATCAAAACCTATGCAAAGTGCTTCAAGCAGCTACGAGGGGGGAAGAATCCTGCTTCTTGTGCCTTTCCTTCAGCCTCATCTGTTTGTAATTTCACAAGAACATCTGTTTCATCATACCGTCTCTTCTTTAAATTCTGTTCACTTTCCCCCCATTTTCATTAAAGCTTATGTGCCGCAGAACACCTGCTTTATGTGCCACCCTCAATTCATGTCCTAACAAACGTGTGATCTTGACCACCATAGTCCGTACCAGCATCCTATGATGTTTCAGTGCCCATCTTCCCTCTGCATTGAACAAAGGTGTGTGTTAGTCTCGCAGGGCTCTTTTTGTAGCAGGAACTCCTTTACATATTAGGCGACACACCCCCAATGTAGCCAATCCTCTAAGAGCTTACAGTAGCCCCTGTAAGAAGAGCTCTGTAAGCTCTTGGAGGATTGGCTACATTAGGGATGTGTCACCTAATATGCAAAGGAGTTCCTGCTACACAAAGAGCCCTGGTTGGGGTCCTTTTCTCCAGGAAAAATCTTTACTTTACTATAACAGAAGAACCATTTTTTTTCATCTCTAACATTAACAAACTCAACAGAAAATTATACAGCTCAGGTTGTGAGGGGGCTTTTATGCAAAGCATCTCAGGATGCGGACCCCCCAAAAATACACCCAAAGGGTCAAACAAGGTCAGCCCCTGTCACTGAGTTCGCACGTAGGTGAGCCTCCATTTTGTAGTGCCAGAGAAAGCTGTTTAAGAGAGAGGCACGGGCTTAGCTTTATGTAGTGGTTAGGAGTGCATACTCTAATCCGGGAGAACTGGGTTTGATTCTCCACTCCTGGTGTGGTCAGTGGTCTCATGGGTCTCTTGTTTTTGAAACTCTCCCCATGCAAAAAGCTTCTGTAGTCTAACTTCACAAGCCTTTTTAGATTTTTTTTCCCATAAGAAAGTACTATGGCTGAGAAGCATCAACACTCAAAAAGGAACAAACCTTCAAGGAACCAACACTTGGTGGATTTGCCATCTCAATGTCCCTCTAGATTCTGCAAAGCATTCTGGATATCTTGGCACTCTGGGATTATGTATTTTTGTGGAAGTGGATTCAATATATCTAAACCAGTTCTTACTAATACTGGTATTTTTGAAGAACTCCCTAGATGGTTATTTTGTCTCACAGTGGAGTTTGATCCCCTGAGTGATCCCCCAAAATATGGGATATTCGGTGAATATTAGTGGAATCTTTGACCTCCAATATCAGCTTCTGAAATCCAAAGGCTTTGCATTTTCCATCGGAATTAGACAGTCTCTCACTCTTATGGCATTCATCAGATGACACACAGTCGTATTCATCATTTGACAGTATTTATGTGGATCATAGTTTTTTTTTGGCTGCTAAATGTTTTGTGCTGCTTTTTATGCTCTGGCTATTTTTTTTTTTTTAATGGCTAGGTTTTTAATGCTTTTTTTTTAAAAAAAATATTGCACAGTCGTGCCTATGTAAGCCGCCCTGAGCCCGCTTGCGGGGAGGGCGGGGTATAAGTGAAATAAAAAATGAATAAATAAATAAAATAAAAAATGACTTTTATCATATTTTACTTTGTGAGCCACCTCAAGCCTGAGCCGCTTCAAACCTGAAAAGGCAGTGTATTAAATTTAGACTTGTTAAGTAATAACCTGAATGAAAACTAAAGAGCTGTAGTTTTGGGATGCAGCCTGGTTATCAATAATACCTCATTTGTCTTGTAACATGATGTCTTGTGTCTTCTTTCGGGAGAGTGAGAGCAAATAAGTCAGTTTTCCTGACAAACTGCTTTAGATGCTGGTATTGGACAGGACAATCCATAGTATGTTCAGAAGGCATCTCCTGACCTGGATGGCCCAGGCTAGCCAGATCTCATCAGAACGCCTCATCTCTTGCCCTTAAATCCCCATGGGGTTGCTGTAAATTGGCTATGACTGGATAAAACTTTCCACCTCAACGTGATAGAATTTCAGAAACGAGCATTCCCTCGTGTACACCTTCTCCTAACATTAGCTGACCAAGATCAATTACATGAACAGCGTCAAATAGATTCTGCAATAAGAACACAAGGACACGAGAAGAGCCCTGTTGGATCAGACCAGGGGTCCATCTAGTCCAGCATCCTGTCTCTCACACACTGGCCAACCAGTTTCTCTGGAGGAACAACGACTGTGCATAGAATCCAGTGTTTGACTGGGATTCAGTGTTTGACTGCCTCTGAATGTGGAGATTCCCCTCAGTCACCATGGCTAGTGGCCATTGTTAGATGCATCCTCCGTGAATCTGTCTCATCCCCTTTTTAAAGTTGTCTGTGCAGCGAATTCCACATTTTAATCACTCTCTATCTAAGGAAGTATTTCTTTTTGTCCATCTCAAATCTCCTGTCTATCGGCTTTGTTGGATGATCTCGGGTTCTAGCATTTTGGGAGCGGGAGGGGGGAAAAATCTTTGTCAATGCTCTCCAAATGAGGCCACTTCATAGATCTATACAGAGGCATTATAATAACATTCGTTTTATGTTCAATCCTGTTCCAAATAATCCCCAACATATTGTTTGCTTTTTTCACTGCTGCAGTACATTGGCTTTTCATTGGGTTATCCACTATGACCCCAAGATCTTTTCCCCTCTCAGTCTCAGCTAGTTCAGACCCCATTAGCTGTACTTGAAGTTGGGATTTTTTTTTTGTCCCAATGCAAAGAAGAAGAAGAAGAGGAGGAAAAGGAGGAGGAGGAGATTGGATTTATACCACACCCTTCACTACCCAAAGGAGTCTCAGAGCGGCTTACAAACTCCTTTCCCTTCCCCTCCCCACAACAGACACCCTGTGAGGTAGATGGGGATGAGAGAGCTCTGACAGAAACTGCTGTTTTTCAAGAACAGCTGTGACAGAACTATGGCTTGCCCAAGGTCATCCATACGGTGCAAGTGGAGGAGTGGGGAATCAAACCCAGTCCTCCCAGATTAGAGTCTGCGCACTTAACTACTACACCAAACTGGCTCTCAACCCAAACTTGCTCTCAATGAACACAAAGGGGTTTTTGTTAACCTAAAATAAAAACATAAAACATAAACACTTAAAACATAAACAAAAACTTAAAACATAAACACTCTTGCAATATTTTGTTCATTTAACAGTGTCTGATAACTGACACCTCTTGCTCTGAATTATTGCATCACAATGTCTGTGCTGTTGCAATCTTGAGTATGCTGTTCAGTTGTGTATCTGTAAGCTGCAAACCTACGATGACGCAGCAGCAGCAGCAGAACTGGAAGAAGAAGCAGAAGACAGACAGTTCTACTGTGGGCCTGATAGAAGCCCTCAGGGGCCTGATCCGGCCCCGAGGCCGCATGTTTGACACCCCTGTTCGAGATAATTTATAAATAAATTAAATAGTACTGGCCCCAATGACAATCCTTCTGGGACCCCACAGTTTCCTTCCCTCCATTGTGAGAACTGCCATTGATTCCTACTTTTTGCTTCCTGTCATTTAACCAGATTTTTTTAATCCATAAGAGAACCCGTCCTCTTATTCCATGACTGCTAAATTTACTCAGGAGTCTTTGGTGAGGAACCTTGTCAAAAGCCTTTTGAAAGTCCAAGTATATAATGTTTATCGTGTCACCATTGTCTACATGCTTCATCACCATATGCTATATGTGCAGAAACACCAAATCCCCCAAAAGACTCAACACCACATAGATATATTACTGAATACATGATACACAATCCATGTGGGCACATTAATCTACAGGATCTTTGCATGAAGGATAGAAAATGCACTTAAGGTTTTCCATAATTCTACTAGCGCAACATCAAAACAAATGTCAATCCAAAGAAGAAACAGAACAAACAGCAATCAAAAAACAATAAGAAAGGTATAGA